TTATTTGCAAATATAATTCATTCAGTACTAATCATATCTTTTTTGTAAATTTAATATGCAGTTGTCTATACAATTGAATTTCAAAAAAGAGGTTTGCCACATAGTCATATTTGTCTATTTATGCATGCTGACTCCAAGCGGCCTACTGTTGAATATATTGATACGATAATTTCCGCGGAGATTCCAAATATCAATGAAGAGCCGTTGTATTCACTTGTAAGTGAATTCATGATACATGGTCCTCGTGGAGCTGAAAATATGAATTGCCCATGCATGGTTGACAGGCAATGTTCGAAAAATTTTCCAAAGCAATTCTGTAATCATTCTTCAGTTGATGTTAACGGTTATCCCTTATATATGAGAAGAAACAATGGATATTTTGTCGAAAAATCAGGTGTCAAGTTAGACAACAAAAATGTTGTTCCATATAACAAATATCTGTTGAAAAGATATCAGGCACATATTAATGTTGAATGGTGCAATCAGGGATCTTCCATAAAGTATCTGTTTAGATATATAAACAAAGGTCCAGATAGAGCTACAGTTGCTGTTGACATCAACACTGATTCTCATCAAGAAAAGGTTGTGGATGAAATAAAAGATTATTATGATTGTAGATATTTATCTGCATGTGAAGCATCATGGCGGATATTTAAATATGATGTTCATTACCGATATCCTTCTGTGATGCGACTACCTTTTCATCTTCCTGATCAACAACAAGTCATATATGCTGCAGACGATGATATTGACGATGTTCTTGAACAACCTTCAGTTGCTGCTTCTATGTTCACATCTTGGATGGAATGTAATAAAATTAATAAAGATGCACGAAAACTTACATATGTTGAATTTCCGACAAAGTTTGTTTGGAAACCTAATGATAGGTTGTGGAAGCCAAGGAAAATTGGACGTTCAATAGGAAGGATTCACTCTGTTTCACCTAAACTTGGTGAAGTATACTTCCTAAGAATTCTTTTAAATAAAGTGAAAGGTCCAAAATCATTTGAAGAAATTCGTACGGTAAATGGTGAAGAATTTCCTACTTTTCGAGATGCATGTTATGCTTTGGGCCTCTTAGATGACGACAAAGAATATGTCGAAGCAATTAAGGAAGCAAGTCATTCAGGAACTGGTTTTTATCTGCGTTTCTTATTTGCTATGATGTTAATGTCTAACAGTTTGGGTAGACCAGAGTTTGTTTGGGAAAATACATGGCAACACTTGTCGGATGGTATTCTTTACAACCAGCAACGTAGATTAAAGTCTCCAGGTATTATAATTTTCTACCATTATTTGTAAAAACGAATATTATATATTTTCAATATGCAGGGTGCAATTTTGTTTATAAAAATTAATGTTTTTAATATTATATTGTTTTTTACATATATTTAATTTTTACAGGTTTAACACTCAATGAGGATCAACTTAAAAATCTGACTTTGTTTGAGATCGAACAGATTTTACTTCGTAACAACACCAGTCTTAAAAATTATAACAAAATGCCTTACCCTGATTCTGATATAGTTTCTTCTTCAACAAATCGCCTTATCACGGAGGAGCTAGACTATGACATACCCATTTTAAAGAAAGAGTTTGATCGAATGTTTCATGCATTAACAAACGAGCAGCGAAATATTTTTATTGATATCATGACTACAGTCAATGATAAGAAAGGAGGTGTTTTTTTTGTGTATGGATATGGTGGAACAGGCAAAACCTTTCTTTGGAAGACGATATCTGCAGCAATTAGATGTAAAGGTGATATAGTTTTAAATGTTGCTTCAAGTGGTATTGCATCGTTATTATTGCCTGGAGGTAGGAAAGCACACTCTCGGTTTATAATTCCATTGAATCTTACGGAGGATTCTGTTTGTAAGATACCGCCTGATAGTGAACTCGGCAGATTAGTAAGAAAAAGCTCATTGATTATCTGGGATGAAGCACCTATGGTCCACAAGCATGCATTTGAAGCTTTAGATCGAGCTCTGAAAGATGTATGTAAGTTTGATAAGTCGAGCAACTCAAAAATTCCATTTGGAGGGAAAGCGATTGTTTTTGGAGGAGACTTCAGACAGATTCTACCTGTTGTTCAAGGAGGCAGTAGACAAAATATTGTTAATGCTTCTTTAAGTTCTTCATATATATGGCAACAATGCAAAGTCCATAGATTAACAATAAACATGAGACTAACCGTTGGGAAGGGAACCATCTGATATTCGAAAAATACAAAGTTTTGCAAACTGGCTTTTGGATATAAGAGAAGGAAAAGTTGGTGGTTCGAACAATGGTGAAGCGATTATTGATGTTCCGCATGATATTCTCATTAATGATCCACATGATCCTATAGGTTCATTAATTGAGTTTGTATATCCTTCAATCTTGGAAAAATTCAACGTTATGAGTTATTTTCAAGAAAGAGCTATACTAGCTCCTAAAAATGAAGTTGTCCAACAAATCAATGATCGTTTGTTAGCATTGTTTCCCGAAGACGAAGTAGAATATTTAAGTTCAGATAGTCTTTGCCAATCAGAGTTTGTTCATGATCATTTTGATCCCAATTTATACTCCCCAGATATTTTAAATGGTCTTAAAGTATCAGGTTTGCCAAATCACAGGTTAATTTTAAAAGTCGGTGTTCCAGTTATGTTACTAAGAAACATTGATCAAAAAAATGGATTATGTAACGGCACCAGACTACAAGTGAAATCTTTGGGCAAACGTGTTATTGAGGCAATTATCATATCTGGAACTAATATTGGAAAACAAACCTTTATTCCAAGAATGTCTTTAAGTCCATCTGAAAAAAAAAATTCCCTTCAAATTTCAAAGAAGACAATTTCCTTTGGCTGTATGTTTTGCAATGACAATTAATAAAAGTCAGGGGCAGTCGCTATCAAAGGTTGGTCTGTATCTCAAAGATCCTGTTTTTTCACATGGACAGTTGTATATTGCCTTATCTAGAGTTCAAAGTAGAGAAGGATTGAAATTGTTAATTTTAGATAATGATGGTAGACTTACAAACAAAACTTCTAATGTTGTGTATAAGGAAGTTTTTAGAAATTTATAAATGCTTCGTAGTGTTTAAATTAAAACAATTGTGTTTTTTTAATTTTTTATTACATTTTTTAAATATTTTATTTTTTATATACCATTGCAATCCATAATATTGATTTTGTTTTGATATTTCATTTTCACACTTTAATACATGTCACATGGTGTTTATTGTTTGCTCCCTCAAATGAAAAAAAAATACTGATTTGCCCTCGCATTTCATAAAGCATTCAAATATTCAAAGTTCCATTTTAGTTATCTTCATATTTACCTTTTCCAATGATTGTTTGTGTTTCTCTTTAACATCTATTCAAATTTGTATACTTTTTTACAAATATATATTAATATTAATTTTAAATAATAAATATAAAAATGTGAAACAAAAATAATTCTTATTAATAATATAATTTTTTTACAAATTTTTTACCTGTGGATTCCACGGGTTGTAACCTAGTGATATATAATCAAATCAAAATATATTTAACATTTTTTTTTGTCATTGGTCAAAGATTTAAAAATAATCTTCAATAAAGACTTTGGAGTTTTTTTTTTAAAGTTGCCAATAATGATGTAACTATAAATAAAAGCTTCACCGATAAAAAAAAGTTTGTGATTTTATAAACAACATGACAAATGAAAATAAAAATTGCAATTTATGTAGATTTTGTTGGTAATGATTACACGTTTTTTAGAATAAAACGATTAAACGAGTATCTTTAGTTAACGAAAAGGAAGGGAAAACAAATATGGCCGTGTCATTTTGTATTCTTTGAACCACAAAACAAAACTCTCTTATTTTGTATCCAAATAATAATAAAATGTCATATGTATTTTAATAATTAAAAATTATTTTGTTATATGTCACATTCTCATTCATTTGGTCACATGTTATTTTAAATTATATTTTTTTTTCGCTTGTCATTTTATGAGTTATTTATTTATTTTTTTATTTTTTATTTTTAAATTCACATACCATTTAAATGTAATAATTGTAATAATAGATATATATCAATTTAACTAATACAACTTTCCTTTTATTTTCCAAAATTTCTAAATTGAAGCCCAACTTTTTTTTTTATCTATTTAAATTTAAAAGGGAAATAAGAATTTCAATTTCAATAGTTTAATATTTTTCTTACTTTTGTTATAATTTTAAACTTCCTAAATATTTAGACCTTCATATTATATATATATATTTTTAATAAACTATATTTAGTCCTTCATATATATATATATATATATATTATATATTATAATATATATATATATATATATATATATATATATATATATATTACGCAGGTCTTACACGTCTCACAACTACTGTTTACTAAATTAATCACCAAATGCATCAAACCAAAATACATACCTAAATCACATTACTCCCCCACTTATATGTATGATTATGGACCTAAGGATTCTATCTACAACAAGAGATAGTATAAGTTATGGAATGTACCTCTATTCTATCTTATCTCGAGGATCTTAATCTACTAGTTCTGAGACCCATGTAATACATAGGTTAATTTAAAAAAAAGTTAAATATAAAAGTCAAAATATTTGAGAACTTTAAATTTATAAGAAAATAAGAAAAATAATGAATTATTATAATGGAAATGTTTTTTATCTTTTAAATTTAAACAAATAATTTAAATAAATAAAAGAAATAAATAAGTTTTAATTTTGGGAATTTTAAAATTAAAATGTAAGTTCATTAATAAAATTGATATTCATTTATTATTATATTTATTATAATTATTACATTAAAATTATGTGAAATTTAAAAAAATAGAAAAACTTATAAAATGACATGTGGAAAAAAAATTAATTCAAAATAACCACAAAATGACATTTAAAAATTTGAATAAGAGTGTGACAAGTGGCAAAAAAAACATTCATTTATTAAAGAGGATGAGTATTTAAACATCTTATATAAAACAAATTCCCCAGAAAAATAGAAAATAAAATCACCAAGAACACGATCTGTCATTATTACCCACATGATGAAATTTATCAAAATTATAAAAAACAATTTTACGTTTTAAAAATATTAAAATTAACCAAAATTCCACATGTACCAACTAATCTCAAATAAACATACTCCTCAATCCAAATACTTCTGGACAGGATAGAAAACGTATTTACATCTGAGCCATTAGCCTTTGCTGATGGATGTAGAATCCCTCACACGAACATAGGTGGTGAAACAGTAACGGATTCCATTTTCCACTATAGGAAGAGATGAACACCATGGCTGGAATTGTGTAACATCAATAGCAGGGATGAATGTATCACAATCAATATCTGTCTCAATTTCAGTTAAATGGATAGCATCACATTCACGAGCATTCAGGGATTCCCTGCAAATATTTCATTTAACAAACCTCAAAAGAAAGATACAACACAGAAAGTCAGGGAAATGATCAAATGAGGACCTTAAGATCTGTCCACCGCCTATAACGAACACATTCTCTATAGAAAGACGATAACGAGATGAAGCTAATAGCTTCAATGCAGAGATCATGCTTCCAGATATTAAGACGTTTTTTTCCATACTTCCAATGTGAAAGCTTTCAGAACGAGTGAGGATAACATTGAGTCGACCAGGAAGGGGTCTATGCTGTACAGGTATGCTCTCCCATGTTTTTCTCCCCATTATCACGGCATTCTTTTTGGCTGGATCTGCTGTAGTCATGGTGAGATTCTTGAAGAATTTGAGGTCGGAAGGTAATCGCCATGGCAGTTTTCCATCTTTTCCGATACCCATGGTTTTGGTGGCGGCGACGACTACCTCATAACTCCTCCGACCGAGTATCGGGAACAGTGCCATTGATCTTTTCACTCGTCATGACCAAATTACAGGTCTGTGTTAGAATACATCTAAGTTCTAACATCTTAGAGATAAACTTAAAAAGGGGAAAGCTGTATATAGGATGAATGTATTACAAATATTAGAACACAGGTGAAAGAGACGATGACAATAGTACCACCAAATTAAGCAATACTTCAGATTATACATAGGAATCAGCTCAGTTATCGACCAGATTGAACAAATCGTAACCCTAATCACAACTAAATCGATATGATGAGTTCAATGAAATGAAAAAGGGAGGAGGAATGTTACCAATCTGAGAGCAAAACGTGAATTGCGCGAAATTTTGTTGAATTGTGTAAAGAGAATGGAGGTCAATTGCAACGAACACAATAAAAGAAACGGTTCCGTTGACGCGAAGTTCCGCCGTGGTGAATATCGGATTGCCTTTAATAAGATTCATAAAGACTGCTAGACTGAACTTAATTACTATTATGCCACTGTTCACAAATCCACTAACGTGTTCATACATCATGAAAAACAATATAGGATCCCAACAATAAATCAAAATAACAGAGGTAAAAACAAAATTGATCTACTGTTTCGGCTTCGATTTTAAACAGGAAATGACTTCTTTTCGTACCTTTATATCGAAATGTATTTTAGCTTTGGAAATCTTTCAAGGTAAAATGACATATTAACCCTACTATGTATTACAAATTTGTCTATTCAGTCCTTTAAGTTATTTTGGAACCTTTCGAGGAAATAAAATTGTTAATGACATATCAATTTAGTCCCCTTAATGTAACCCTCGTTCCTTGCAATACTATTCCCTTCAAGAGCAAACCCTAAGCATTTTTTAGGAGGATTCTGTGCGGCTAGAGAGACAAGGAAGGAGGGTGAGATCGAGAGAGATAGAGAGAGGGTTGTTGCCACCGGAAAAACGAAAGGGGAGAAGGAGCTCCGACTGCCGTCGTCGGAGTTCTCGCAGCTCCGCCAGTTGACGCCGGAGAGAGAGGGGAGGAAGGAGTGGGGTATTTGTTGCCTTGCTTCAGTTGAAGTGGTATAATATTTTCTTTCTCACTTGCTTTCTTCCTTTTTCTCTTCAAACACCACACACACGTAGACACCACTCACCACCATAGAACCATCGTCTGTGGTGGTGGCAGTCGCCGAATTTGTTGCCTGAGTCCGGCAGAGATGAGGTGTTAATGAGTTTGGTCTTTGTTGTTGCTTAAGCTGAGTGTGTGGGTGTAAATTTTCTTTAGCTTACTCCTTCTTTTGTTCTTAAAACACCACACACCACCACCACTTACCACCACTGTCGTCGGTGGTGGTGGCAGTCGGAAAACCACCATGAAGTCATTTGGTGGAGGTATGGTCGTTGATGTTGTCACATTCTTGGCTAGAGTTCACTTCAAGTATCTTGTCTTCTTTCTTTTGAATTTGCTTTTGGTGTGAGGGTTTTGAACACCCTAGGACCACCATGACTCCACCATGTCACCACCACTTCATGGTGGTTGAATGGTGTTGCTTCCTTTCAGTTAATTATGAATGTTAAGTACTTAATGGTTTTGGTTTGAAAACAAAACTCATAAATCACTTCTAATGAGCTTCATATGAAGAAGTGGGTTTCTATGTTGATTGTTTGAATAAGTTCTTAATCCATTGAGTCATTTACTATTTGGTATTGAAAATAGTTGGTTTAGGATCCCCTTTAATTGTTTTGATTGTTTTTGGACTTAACCACTAAGGACTTAATGAGTTAAGAGGATTGTAAGCTCAAACTCAACTGTTTTGTAAATTCTAAAATTTGTCTCCGATCTTTGAAAAATCATATAAAATTATTGGGTGATCAAAATTGTGCAATAAATACATCACCGGAAAGGTACGGATGTCTAGTTTCACCCATATCAATGGTTTAACCTGATTTTAAACTCAAGTGTATAGTTTTCAGTTTGAATGCACGTTGGTCCAAAAATTTCACTGATCACTTGGGTCTTTTTGTAAGTCATAACTTAATCTAGGAGGATCCATTTTTAATGAGGTTTTTCTCTATATGTTCGTAATCATGTGTAGTTTTGTTAATAAATTGGGCTTGGTATGATTCCATTCCTAAGTTGGATGAAATTGGAATTTCTTCCAAATTGGTCCAGAAAAATGTTGTTATTATTGGTCATATTGTAAAATGAATAAATAAATACAGAAAAATCTAAATTACATGAATCCATGGGCTGAGTTTATGTGAGAGGGTCTAGTTTGTCATATATTTTTTCAATGGAATGATTCTCATCCCTTATAGGGTGTTGATGACCATTTTTGTTGATTGGTCCAGATAATGGGACAATTTTTATAGTTCATTTGTTAAATCATTAGAATTTGATAGAAAAATAATTAAAGCATGTGTTTTACATATATGTAAAGCTAAGTGAATGTTATTAATAATTAGTATCAACCTTTCATGGGGTTGGGTTCGAGAGGGGTAAATCGGTTTGTGTGCCGGTTTTCATAACGATTTAAAAAGTTGTAATAAAGCGTAATATTAACTATTATTAAGTAATACTTAAAGAATGAACTAATTAGGGTTATTTATGCATTGTAGGCATTCGGAGAGGGACAAGCTCATCTATCTCACGTCTGTAGTGTTGCTCAGAAAACTTGTTATCAAGTGGATCGTATTGGCTAATTCCTTCGAGAACTATTCGTGTGTGGGTTCAATTGTTAGTTTAAGGTGAGTTTCTCACTATGCCACCTATTCCATTGTATATTCTTTTCATGGTAGGATATAGGTATTGTTAGAGTACAAGTATGCTAGTGGGGTCTAGGGTAAGTTCTTCTTATGCCTTGCAGTTAGAACACTTAATGCTTTAGTATGCTAGACTGGTAGGGTCTTGATTGTTGATCATATGATTCTGTTAGGAGGTATGTTTGGCAGGGTATCTAGGGAAGGCTAGTGCCAAGGGAATGTTCTATGTTATTTGTGCATGTGTTTATGCTATATGGATATGAGGTAGTGATAGCTTGGGTCATATGTAGTCTAAGTTGGATAGTCTGAGAACTATTGGTTTAATGTCTGATTGTGATGTTCTTGTCTGATTGTTCGCTCTTGGGTTGATCATCTGTTCGACTGTCTATCTGATCCCTGACTATATACGACTTTATGTCTTGTATGGAAGACTAGGAGATGACTCCTGGTAGAAGGGGGTTGGTTTGGGCCCGTTTAGTCCTTGGGCGGGGCTCGTTATGTATGGTTGGGCGGGGTCCGTTATATAAGTTGGGTGGGGCCCATGAACTCTTGGGTTGGGCCCGTTGCACATGATGCATGGATGTGATTAGGAGTTTTTGTTTCTCTGCATTAGAGTCGGGATCTTGTGTGGATGCATTGTATGTATGATGGAATATGTAGTATACTAGGAAACTCACTAAGCTTTATGCTTACAGTTGTGGATTAAACATTTTGCAGGTTTTGTAAATTTAACTCTAATATTGTATGGTTTAAATTAAAAGGATATTTCTAAATGACCTTTGAAATAATGGTTTTAATCGATTAATCTATTTAATATTTCAAAAATCTCTTTGTAATTTTCGGGACATTAAACGTAACCTTTTTTAACCGGTTAATAGCGCCACATAAGCAACTGAAGCCAACTCAGCTTTGACATGGACCATACGACGACGTTTGAACCTGAAGCCTTATTCTCCAAGATTCCGACTATTCATTACCAAAGTGGTTATAAAATAAATGTTTGTGCCCGAAAAGGATCATACCCACTAAGTTTCCTGCCATAATCCTGCACAACATCTCCTACCCTAATTAAGACAAACATGTATTTTGTTACTTCGTAGTGCCACAACTGGTTTTTCGAAGATCGCCGTCACATACAAGCGAATGGCTTTAATGCAGCCGAGCCACAATACATCCAAATCACTCTTCTCTAATTGCATCTTGAGGTTTCCCTTATCAGGGAAGAAGTCAATGGGACCTGCATCAGCAAAGGGAAAGTCTTCGTCTGGAGATGGATTCGTTGAATCGTGAGGTGGATGATATCAGGGCAGCTGGAGGTGTCCCATATGACTGACGACCTGGAGAACCACTTTTTTTTACTCCAGCCAGTGTATATAAAGGCAAAGACTGAGATAATTGAGAGGAAGAAGAAGATATGTGCATTCACATGTTTATTTGGGGTGATAGTTGTTGTGGGGGTGATGGTGGTAGCTTACAACTACTTCTAATGGCGGGGTAGTTAGTTTTCTTTGTTTGGGTTTTGGGTTTTGGTTTTTGGAGGGTAAATAGTTTGTTGTTTGGTGTAAGTCGTTAGTATAGTTTTGGTTGTCTATTTTTCCGATGGATATTCTTTTGTTGTATGTGGATGTCAAACCTAGAAGCCACTGTGTTGGATCTTTACTATGATCTAGAAACAAAATCGTTAATGATCTTATGTACTTACAAAATTCGGATGAATGAAAACAAGATTATGGCTATATACACATTGTTTCCTTATTTTATTACAGGTCAAGGCATCTTGTAGGACCCAAAGGTTGAACGTGTTCATGAGTTGGTCTATTTTAAGGGAAAAAATTGTTTTATATACAGACTTGGGACCACATGTTGTAGAGGTTTAAGGAAAACAAAATTTTGTTTTATGCACCAAAATGGGGACATCAAGGTCCTTAATCCCCATAACTGAACATACCAATAAAGTAACTAATTTTTCACATGGCCAAAAAGTTACCAAAATAGGAATAAAAACAGAAGGAATTATAATGAATATCAATGTTTATTCCCATGTTTAGAATGTGACTTTTTCAACATCTATATACTTTTTTGTGACTTGTTAATGTACGTCCACTAATAAGAAATTGAGCAACAAATTTTTTTTACTCAACTGCTAATCCTTTGTTAACATTTGACCATAAGTTGGACAACATTGGCAAGGTCAAATATGAAATGGAATAACCTTTGGCATTATTCAGCACCTAAACAGTTTAAGGGTCAAGTATGCAAACAAATTCTACAGGGACCACAAGTTTAACATGCAATTATTCATTGCTAATTGAAAGGGAAATTACGAAAACAATTTATACCAACATGCCAAATAAACAGTTAAAGACCAACCATGAAATGTAATTGCATTCATTGCTTACAAAGAAAAAATTACTACAAATTACATAAATACCCCTGTCTGTAACAACCTTTGAACATATTCCATAAATACCCCTTGGCCTAACATCTTGTTACTAGATTTACATAAATACCCCTCCCCTAACAACCTGTTATGAGATTACATATATACCCTTACCCTAAACACTACACCCATACTAATCCAAATCCATATCCTTTTATTCATTGCTACCTTCACCTTCGATTCTTTTTGCCAACTTCATTTTAACGATTCTTTGACTTCTTCCTCTTCCTTGGTTGTTATAATTTACTAACCTGAAT